CACCACCACCACCACCCTCCTCCCTTTTTGAGTAGACCACATCTGTTTGCTGTCTGTTCCCCTGGGCCAGCACTGTGTAATCTATTGCATTAGCTCACATTAGTGCATATCGCCCATGGGCCTTGGTAATCACAAACGCAAAATGAGCATTTCACTTAGCATCACCCTCATATTCCCCCACACTATTGCAAACTTAGTGCAAACGCATGGCAGAGAACGCAAGTCGACAACAGCCAATGACATGCATCCTGTTACTCTTGATCCCCGTGTCCAGAATGCTGCAAGGGCTTTTTCGTGTCAAAACTCCCTTTGATAGGCAAATACACACTTTGAATTTTCCCTCTGTTTACTTTCCGTTCTGTATGTTTTTCTCTGTAATTTGGAGGCCTCAAGAAACGTTCGAATTTATGCATTTCTGCCAGAAATTTGTCCTGACCTTTACCTGCGTCTTTACTCCTTGCAGATGAATGGCACTGCAGGCCTTCCTTTCATTAAGCTGCATCATTGCTGGGCTTAAAGAAGCTTGAAATTATTTTTGATACAAAACAGAGTTACAGAAAACAGATGTTATTGATGATTAGAGGTTTATTTATTATTTATTATTATTTATTTCTTTATTCCCCAATACCATGCTTCATTGCCAATTATGCACAGAGATCTAGACAAGGAAAACCCAAGAAATTACACGTTTCATGCAAATTCACTTGGGATTTTTCTTTGTCAGAATGCTTTGGCATGACACACCTGAGGTCTTCACAGCTCCTTAGCGAGTTTCTTTCATCACATTAGGTTTTGTGTGATAAGGATTTACACAGCAGCCATTTTAGTGCACAATTCAATACACAAATGGCATTTTATGCTTGTATTGCCATCCGTTCATCTGTTCAGAGTGTTTGGTTTCACAAGAGGTTATGTTTAGTAGTTGTGGATCTGTGACTGAGGTTATGTTTAGCCATTCCAACCTCTTTCTCTCCAGTAGTATGACTATCAGATCTCCTACCTCCCTCCTTCCTTGTAAAGTAAACTTCATGTTTTTCTCCTTCCCCTTAAGTGCTCTCTCCTCTTATTTTCAGTCCTTTCATCACTCATAATTGTTGCCTCCAGATTGTCAACTTGCATGAATTAGCAATTGGGCCAACAAAGCGGATACGGTCAATTGTTGAATATCCTGTCAGAATTTGAGGCGGAAAGTCTGCTCTGGCTGTGATTGCTCATCATCGTCACCCCATTCCTCTGAGGAAGAGGAGCAATGTAATGGTTCCCACAAAAACAGCCCCTGGCCTAAGGAAAGGGATTTGGGTGTCTGGAGACAACAGGGGCCATATGGAGCGGGCTGAGATAGCAAGGCACATGTACAGAATAATGGATGATGTGTCATGTTTCATGTTGCAGAGAAGCCATCAAGAGACTTGGTTTGGGGAAATCAAAAGGCTCACATACAGCAAAAGCGACTGTTGGACCATTTAGCATTTCTTGTTTATTTTTATTTTGAGAGCGCGCTGAACATTGATGTAGCCTTGAAAAATGTGTTGCTCTATTTTCAGTGCTTTTGGTTTGCTGAGGTTATTTGTAAGTAAACAACATGATGATTCTGGTTGGCTTTTATTGACTAACATATGATATCATAGCAGACAACTTTAACAGCATAACAACTTGTTTCTGAAAGGATAGATTTCAAGTATAAAGGAACAAAAATCTGAAGACAAAATAAAAGACGTGTAAAATAGACACAAAGATAAGTTGTTTTGTTGTTTAGTTCAAGATATGGCCAACTGTAAGTCAGTGGGTTAACCAATTTGGTCTAGACACAAATTGGTCTAGACACAAATATCTCAACTATTGGATGGCTTGCCAGGAAATTGTGCATAAACATTTGTGGTCCCCAGAAGATGAATCCTGATAACGCTGGTGATTTCCTGACTTGTCATCTAGCGCCATCATCAGGTTTAAAATTTAATGTGACCAAAACTTTGTTTATGACCATACGACACATCAGCCTTAGCCAGGGGCGGATCTAGAAGGGGGGCATGGGGTGGCTTTTGTTACCCCTGAAGGAATGCCTGGATACCTCAGCTGCTACCCCAGTTTCGTTGTCTAATAATGGAAATTAATTTAATGATCTGTTCTGGCCACATTTTAGACTAAGTGATAATGAAAATCAATAAAAAATGTATGTATTTGGAAAAATTGAATTTAAATAATGTAACACAATTATATTTTTGAGTTAAAATATCTTTATTTTTGGGGCTTTTCCAAGCAAATATTGATATTGTCCACTAATCGGAAGGTTGCTGGCCACATGTCGAAGTATCCTATCCAAGATACTGAACCCCGAATTGCTGCCCTGCCTAACCCATTCATACGCGTTAGTTTCTGTTCGATGGACTTTGCCATCGCTGAGCGAATGTGTGTGAAAGGGTGAATNGAAGACTAGAAAGGCGCTTTACAAGTACAGGTCTATTTACCATTTGCCATTAAATCAACGTATATTTCTGCATATATAGGTCTCCATGCCACCCTCTTGCCACATAATACTTCTCTAGATCTGCTCCTGGTACCAGCTATAGCACTAAGTACCAACTGTTAGCATGTTAACATGCTAAAATGCAATGGTGAACATTTCTGCTAAACATCAGCATGTTAGCATTGTCAATGTAAGCATGTTAGCATACTGATGTTAGCGTTTAGCTCGAAGCACCACTGGGCCTTAGTGCAGCCTCACAGAGCCGCTAACATGGCTGTAGCCTCTTAGTCTTGTTTCATTTTCAATACGTCAATAACAATAAAAGATCATACAGTAACGCAATTTAAATATATTGTAAATCCAAAATATCAATATCAGGCATTTAGGACAAAATGGACGTTACAAAAGGTGGAATCCGCTGCTGTTGTGGAGATAAACTCCTCTGTCCAGAGCTTTTCTGCTAGGGGGGCACTGTGTACTTAGTCCCTCCCCCCTCCTATCTGTTCTACCTGCATGTGGAATAAGCCGAGCTCCTCACCTCTGTTTTTCTCCCAGTGTCAGAACTACACTTAAGTGCTGTTTCCGATACCCATGAGTAAGCCCCATAAAAGCTGCCCCATCGCCGCAGCGTTATTGTTTCTTGCGGATGATTGATTGATGGATGAGGGCTGACACTTCAATGAAGCCATTTTCACTGGCATCTCTATCCGATGATGTGCAGCGTATATTTTCCATCCACGCCTCATTGCT